CAGGAATGGATTTTGGATATACATAAATGGTGCTCTGTAAGACTGCTTGCAGTGTAAAGGTGAATTTGGTCCAGAATCTAAGCCTAGGTTGTCCCCTCCCCCCTTCTCCCCCCAGTAATTTATTTTTAAACTATTGAATCTGTTTAAGGGCATTCATTAACTAGTGCCCACAAATAGCACTGGGGGAACAAATGTGTGCAGCAGTAACAAATTTGATAATGATCCAGAACAGCAGCATTCCTTCACTCCTTGCTCTTTTCACTCTCCATATTAACTTCTGTGTTATTAGCAATAATCAGTGCTATGCCACGGATAAGCTCTGCCTCTTTAAATTCTTAGGAACCAGACAGTTGTGATAAGCCTGACTAATTCATTTAAGAATGGCATTAATCAGTTAAAAACAGAGATGGGGGTGTTGATGTTGATAGAAGTGTTGCATAGGGTGTATGTCGCTCACAATTTTAGTAGTTCTTGCTTTAATTCAAAGAATTGTGGAACCAGTTCACTTTAAGGAAAATGTTTCACTTTTAATTGCTCCTAGTGCTTTTCCACTAAATACTGATAATGCTGTTCGTAGTCACTTGCCTTGGAAAGCAGCCCTACTGGGCTGTTGAGACTAATCTCCCAGATTAGGACTGCAGACACAGTGGCTGGGTCTTGGTTCTTAGGAGATTCCTAACTGCTAGGTAATGGGAACATGTGACAGCGCAAAGTGAGGCTTAATTGAAGATCTCCCTCGACCACATAAAGGAAACCTTAATTTAAAAAAAAAAAAATACGTAAATCGATAGAGCAGGTTAATGTACTTTTACATGATTAAGGCAAATACCATTGACTTTCCATTGCTCAGGCTGCTACGATAGGCTTTCTGGCCTGTGTCAGTACAGCTATTTTTTGTCAGTGCTTTTAGAATCTGTCTATATGTAAAAAAATGCTTTTTACTGAAGCTCTGTTGTGTTGCCCTGAAAGCCTGCTAGGATGGCGTTCTGAAATCAGACCAAGGGTTTGCAAGGGCCGATCCCCTTTGACTTCTGGTTCACCCTTCTTTAAAACCTTCTGCTAGGGAGGGGCTGCAGCATTTTTGTGCACGCAGTGCTGAGGGAGAGTCGCTTGACTTCGTGATTTATTATAATCTACCTGATCCCTTCTAAGCTTCATTCTATGGGTGTTAAAGACCCTCTCTCGTTTTTAATGGTCTTGATGTTCCACCAATCAGCTTATCCTTTGTTCTGCAATTCTGCTGTCTGTTAGATGCTCCTGGAAATGAAGCTTGTATTTCACAGATTGTTTTTAACTTATTTCAATTAAGTTATATTTATTTTTGCTTCAATCTTAGACTGAATAATGTAGCCTTAGGTCCCTAGCATATTAGTAAAACTTCTGGTTTATTTTTAACTGTAGAAAAAATGTTGTTTTCTGTGCAGTGATGCACCTCGCTAACTGGACCCCCCTTTTCAAAATTGTAGATCCACCCGTGGGGACTTCTAGCTTCTCTGCCAAGTAAATCCTGATGTGCACTTATGTGTGCTTTCCCCACAGTTTGGACTTGTGCTCTTTCTTTCAGGTAGCAGCCATGGCTATGCCAACCCAAGCAGCAGAGCATCAAGGCGGGGAGGAAGTAGTCTTGGCTCAGCAGCCAGCAGCAGTTTGCTAGACATAGATCCCCTGATCTTAATCCACTTTTTGGATCTAAAAGACAGGAACGGTATGGAAAATCTGTGGGGACTACAGCCACGTCCTCCTGCCTCACTTCTGCAGAACAGAGGTAAGTGGTGCATTTAAAGCAAGTTTTATGTCTTTCCTGAGGAAGATGTGCATCAAGTAGGTATCCGTTTTTCTGGCTTGCTCATTTTGAAGTGGGGCCAGTGGAGATGGTTGAGGAAGAATGTCACTGAGTTCTTGGGAGCTGTTGATATGCAGCCTTGGTGGTGCCATAGCATTAGGTATGCCGTTAGGCTGATAGGTCCTGACCTTAACTTTGTGAACCAGAAGAAAGATGCCTCGTGGTAAATAAAAATCTGTCGCAGCGACTGTTGTAGAAGGTCAGTTACTCGTCTTGTGCGCTGTTAGGGAAGAATTGGTAAATTAACGCCACGTTCTTAAATAGATTCACCATGGCTGACGCTTGTTTGGGGCTATCCAGCCCACAGCCACCATATCTTATTGCAGATCCCTTTGAAACCACCATTTGGTGGCTTAGTAGGGCAGAAGAGAAATGCTAGTTCATCTGATGCACGGATGTAGTTTTCCTCTTGCCATAGTCGTGGCATTTACATTATTGAATCGAAAGATGAAAAGCAAATAGTTTTGCGCTTTGCAGTTAGTTTGTAGCATGTGCAGCTCCAACAAGAAGCAGTTTGAGGCAGAGTGAGCTACAGATAATCCTGGGCTGCATACCAGAGGCAGCTGCTGTCAGGACTCTGCTTTGCCAGAACTAGAAAGAGCAGCTGATGGGACTGAAGAGATGGGAAAGGCTTGCATTACTAGCAGTGCTGCCCAAACCCAGATTCAGGCCCCCCCCCCCCCCATATGAGGTGATGTGCTAGTTTAGGATTTCTGTATCCTTCAGCTGCTTACTGCAGAATCAGTATCATCTATTTTGCTGATACCTCTGAAAGACCTGCCTCTGGTGCCCATGGCTTATTCAGTCATCCTGTTAGAAGGAGGCTTCTGGCTTTTTTCTTTTCAGGGCTGGCTAGGTTTCACCTTCTTGGTTTCCAAGTGCCATTGGAGTTGACAGCTCTGAGCCAGGTGAATTTGCAGCGAGACACTTAAAGGATTGAAAGCATTACAAATAGATTTCAAAGTAGATCTAATGCTGACTTGTTACCGTATAGGCTTACCCATGTATTATCTCTTAGCCCTGATCTTGTGCAGCCAGTTCCCTAAGGGAGTTCTTTCACTTCAGACTCTTTCTGAACTGTCAGTTAATTTGAAATGCATATAAAATTCATGCTGGTATCCAAGAAATGCATTTGCCATCAGACTAGCTAGCAAGCAGGTGAACTCTCACACCCGCCTAGCAGTAAGAATTGGCTCCCTTCATCATGAAGGGCACACAAAGAAAGGGAAAGCGCAGCTCCCAGCACTACAGAGCTGTCTTCTTGCCCACTTCCCCCTGAGGTTCAAAGGCTGGGAGAGCTGCTGTCTCCCCAGACAGGAGGAAGCTAATGGAGGTGAATTAAGTGAGATGAAAAAAGATCATCTTCCGTTGGGCACCCATTTCCCATTCGCCCGCTGGAGGTAATACAGGAGGGTTTAAGTGTTACACAGGAAGCCTAAAACGTGTGCATGGGGAGGGTGGGGGACAGTCTGTACCTCAAGAACTGATGGTAGCAGAGGCTTTGTTAGAGAGCATATGGCAGTCCAGGGTTCACATTATCACTTGTTGCCAGTGTGAACAGGATAACACTGTTCTGGTCCCTATTGAAGTGTGGTTTTGACAGGTGCTGACATTTTTTCTTTACACTCTTCTATTTTCCTAGCAATTAAAGGTATAACATGGATATCTGCTAACCTCAGGGGGGAACTGTGTTTGCATTAGCCCTTTCTCTTAGCAGCGTAGAGGGCCCTTGGCTCCTAGCTGCATTAATAGGATGGGTAGGTTAATTTGGAACAACTGTGGAAAAACCACAGTTGTAAAAATCTGAAGCTAATAAAATAAAAAATACTTGCTGATGGGATGTTAAACCTGTTTCACACCATTTGCAACCCAAATGTTGCAGCCTTATGCCAGTGCTGCAGGACCCAAATGTGAAACGGATGCATTTCCTCTTACATAACCTGGTGGACCGCAGAGAACGTGTGAACTGTGTGAAAATAGTAGGGCAAAACAAGTGAGGTCCCACAAATCTTTTTAGCTTCATGAGGCCATTAACTTGTCAGCCAGTCCATTCTCTGGACACTTTTTAACCTTTGTGTCCCTTCAATCTTTCCTCTTCTAAAGCATCATCCTATTCTCTAAAAGATCGAGACCAGCGAAGGCACCAGGCCATGTGGCGCGTGCCCCCTGACTTGAAGATGCTGAAGAGACTCAAAACTCAGATGGCTGAAGTTCGAAGCAAAATGTCTGATGTGAAAAACCAGCTGTCAGAAGTAAGAAGCAGCAACACAGGCTCTTGTGATGGACAGCCTGGCTTCCTCCCTGTTGACCAGGGGGCTCTGGCTGCCTGTGGAACAGATAGCTGCAGCAAGCTGCAAGAACTGGGAATGGAGCTCTTGACAAAGTCCTCGGTTACAAGCTGTTACATAAGGAACGGTACGTGTGTGGGGAGGGGAGAAGGGGCAATTATAACTGTCACTTCCCTAGACTGCAGTTGTATCCAGGAATAGATGTCTGCCGGTTAAGCTTGAGCTGAGTTTGATTACTCAGAGTATATCTCTGTTGAGAGCTCCAGAAGCATGAAACCAACCCACTCTCTTACTGAAAGAAATTAAATGCTTTGTTTGCAGCCACAAGTAAGAAAAGTAATTCACCCAAACCTGCCCGGTCTGGAGCAGCAGGCAGCCTGTCTCTACGAAGAGCCATGGACTGTGGGGACAACAATCTTCGCTCAAAGGGAGACTGTCTGACTTCCTCTGAAGGTAAACCTGGAGTCTAGAGATGTGCCTTGTAACGTTTCCAGGAACCTCTTGTAAGAATGCTTCTAGGAAGCTTGCCCTTGCCCTTGGGAGAAGTCTGTCTGAAAATATACACATCACCTACTTTTCTTAAATAGACTGTATATTATAGAACCAGTACAGCACTTTGTGGACCAGTCACACCATTGTACTAAGCTTTTGCGTGGCAAGATACAGGAGGTGACAGCACCTCTCTGCTTGGCACCGGTTAGGCCCCATCTGAGTACTGTGTGCAGTTCTGGGCTCCACATTTTTAAAAAGGATGTGAAAAAATTAAAGAGAGGGTCTAGAGGTGGGCAACAAAGATGATCTGCTTGGCGTGCAAGTTGCACAAGGAGAGGCTGAAGGAGCTAGGCATGTTCAGCTTGCAGAAAAGGCACTTAAGAGGGGACATGATGGCAGTCTTCAGACACTTGAAGGGTTGCCATCAAGAAGAGGGAAAGCACCTTTTCTCTCTTGCCACAGAGGAGGATGTGGACCAGTGGCTTGAAGTAGCAGCAGAGTAAATTTAGATTGGATATCTGGAAATACTTCTTCACTGTGAGAGTAGTGAGGCAGTGAAGCAGATGCCTAGGGAAATTGTGGACTCCCCATCACCGGAGGTGTTCAAGAGGAGCTTGGGTGGCCTCTAGTCAGGGACGATCTAGACATAGCTATGCTTATTCCCTACCACGGGTATTTCCCATGCTTCGGGGCTCTGCTGGTTGCTCCCTGCCCTTCCCCTCCCCACCTTTGTTTCCTGCTCTATGTGTTTGGGTGTGTTTAAGCTTCCCCAGAGGCATCGGGTGTTGGCTACAGCTAAGGCTGAGGACTTCAACTGGGGTGTGGCAATTCTTCTGCTAGAAGCAAAGCTGGAGTTGCCTGGCTAAGAGGGTCCTGCCCCTCTGCTCTGGGTCAGACTTATTGCCATATTTGGGGTCAGGAAGGAATTTTACCCCATGGTCAAATTGCTGTGGACTGTAGGGATTTTTGTCTTCCTGTGTAGCGGGGGTCATGGCCCTCTGCCCAGGAGCTCTTGAACGTATATTGACAACATTTTATAAAAGCCGGGCTTTGGCCGTGGTGGTTCCCCCGCTTAACCCGTGGCAGATTATGTGTTTGGTCTATGTTGTGTTGGGATTGAGAGTAGAGTTTAGGTGAAGGTTTTATGGGCTGGTTTGGATAGGGATGATCCGGCCTCAGGCAGGCGGGTGGAGTAGGTGACCTGTCAAGGTCCCTTCCAGCCCAACTTCTCCATGACCCTGACACTGCTGTTCAGCACCGCTCATGCTTGGTGTTCCAGAGGCATCCTTGTTCCGGCAGTAACCTCTTGCCTTTCTAAAATAGTTTTAACACCCTATTTTTGCAATCAGTCTCTTGTAATGCTATATTTTAACTTTTCCTTTATTCTTCCACTGCCTATAGGGCAATAGACAATTCTACTTTAAAGTTCTTGGGAGACTTATTCCTGTGACGGGTATCAGTGGAAGTAGATGCTGTGGTCACTAGACAAGCTCTCTGGCTTTTCAGTGCAGCATCATGGGTGGCAGTTCCAGGAAAGCTGTACTACAGAAATCTTGAAATGGAGGGTCCCAAGCAAGCATTGGGAGAGGTTACTAGCCTTGCCCTTTCCACAGTGCTAAATGGATGTGGGATCCAAAGGAGAGCTCCTGGGATGGGGAGTGGTGGAAATCTCTACCCTGCTGATGTAGCAGCCATCACAACTGCTGCCACGAAGGCTGCTGCCCAAGTGCAGAGACCTGCCTTTGCATGTTTGTAGCATAGTTGCTGGATTGGAGCATCTGCTGCTTAAACAAAGCAGCACACTGACTTCTCGGTGTTCTCCACCTAGCTAGCAAATGGCCCCAGTTTTCCTTCTACATAAGTCTGAGTGGTGTGTCTACCCCAGGAAGTCTTGTATGGGAGGTCCTGACCTTGTGCTCTTGGAAACAGGAACTGTAGAAGAGACCTGCCCCCAGAGCTCATGAAACCACCCTAATGGCAAATACTGCTTAGGCAGGGACATTAAATGCCAGTTATCTTTGCCAGCATTTGCCACCCAAATTCATAATCCAATTTGTGTCTTTCACTCAGTGGATTTGGGAAATGTCTTTGTTGCACTCTAGAACTCGCTGCTGCTTTTCCCAGGTTGCATAGGAAGTGCGAAGCATAGCACCAGGCACGGCTCCCCCAGGCCCTTGGCCAACGGTGCTGCTGGCGAGGTGTTGCTGAAGCCAGAGGACAGGCAATGCGAAGGCTCAGATTGTGATGTGGGGGTTTCTGGTTTGAACGGTTTAAGTGCTGCAGAGAAGACAAGAAAAGCTATTGCCCTGGGGTAAGTTCTTCCCTTGCTGAACAAACCACTACAATCAGGTGTGTGTGGCCAGGTGCGTAAATGACTTTGGAGCTCTTGCTCCTGCCACTGGTGCCTCCAGGTACCTGCCATGGTCCACGCATGGGCTGAAAGTCCCTCCTGTTGTCCCTTACGTAGAATGGGGGATAGAGCAGCTCACTTGAATGACTGCCCCAGCAGAAGGTGGTGTGGTTTGCCTGCTTTGGTTTGCGGTCCCTTGCTTATTTTTCTAGTATTTCTCCCCATAAGCCCTCCCAGAGGAGTTGGTACGTGGCTTCTTTCTGTGGGGGAGGGCATTTTACCTGGAATCCACTCCCTTTTTTGTTGCTAATTTGAGAAGTCCCTAAGTACAGTTTAGTTCCCCAAGATGGGACACGGGTGCCATGAACTAAGCAACTGAGTTTCTCTACATACCCAGCAAGTGCCTGATGGGGTGACCTCTTGGCTCTGTGGCTGTCTGTGATGTGAGAGGGCAGCTTGAAGAAGGCTGGCTTTAGGAAACCTGAACTTTTCCATCGTAGGTGTGGGGTAGAGACAAACTCCAGTGGCTGGGTGATTCAGTGGTGTACATCAGAGGAAGAATGCTGCCTTGGGAGAACCAGCTTTCTACTTTTAAGCCACAACTAGAGCCCTGTGAATAACCCAAGTAGCTTCAAAGTTTTAGGTTTCCATGAATGTGGGAGAGGCTCAGCTGGTGCTATCCGGCAGGTAGCAGGAGGAACCGCCCCATGTCTGCACTGAATGCTTTAGGTGCTATGGGATGACTCTCCCAACCCCTTTTCAAGGTCAAGTTCTAAAGGATGTTGTACAGAAGGAGCACCGACAGCTGATCTGGAAAGCAACTCGGAAACTGGGGAGCTCCAGGCTGTGCTCTCTGAAGTTGCCTCAGCAGGACCAGAGGAAGGTAAATAACCCTGTGAGCCATGTGGCGACTCCTCAAGCCCTACCACTTTGTTTCTCCAAATTGGTACGTTTAAAAAAAACCCCCTGCTTGGTGGCTGAACTGTGCAGCATTTGGTAGATTCATTATAAATGCAGAGCGGGGGGGCTGCTCGCAGGGTGTAGGTGTCTCAGACATGATGCAGTCACAGTACAATAGGACTCTAGAGAAGCAGGAAGTATTTTGAGGAGCTTTCTCTTAGTTTGGGTTTCTAGTTTAGTTCCCCACCTCCAGATGTCTGTCTTTATGTGTCCTATAATTAGACATACAGTTGTAAAAAAATAACTGCATCTAAATATGGATGCCACCTATGCTATTTTAAAATCTAGCAGGAAACCTTGAGCGTAGGGCTTCTGGTTTGTGGGGTAATCGCAGTGGTGGCTGGCACCATGTCTGCATTGGGACAGCTCTTCAGTCTAGTCTAAAGCAGACTTTCCAGCATGCGAGTCCACTATTTCCTGTGAAAGCTGGAAGGTATCTTAGCTGTTGAAAACAAAGGTTCCAGTCTCTTTCTTCTTGCTGAATGCTTTTCATGCTGGAGGACTGACTTATTGATGGTCTGTGTGGAAGAGTGGCTTTTTTTCTTCATATCTTGTTGAAACTCTGCTGCCTTCCACCTCTGCACTAATTTGAATTTCAATGACTGAATTGTAGCGCAAAGCCTATATTAAGGTGCCAGCATCCATCTCTCTCTGCAGTGTGCAACACTGTGTAGGTGTTGGCATTTGCAGAAGGTCTTGCAGTGACATAAAACTGAATTTCTTCTCTTAGTCACTGCAGCGTGATCGTGATGCTTCCTGCCGTTCTCCTGTTCTAGAAGGGAGCCCTAATAGAAAAAATGTTTTTTAAAAGTAAAATATTTCATTGTTAAAACCCCAGGAAACACATCTTACAATTTATTTCCTTTGAGAGAGGTAGAGTCGCAAGAACAGAGCCATCCATATCTCAGCTGCGAGAAAGCAAATTGTTAGGATTAGTTGCGAGTCCTGAGAACTAGATTTCTCAGTCCTTGGAACAGGCAAACCTGCTCCTCCATCTGGTTTGAATCAGGGATCATCATGTTATGCTTATGTGTTTAAACAGATATAGCTCCAGAAAATATTGAGAGGCTGGTTGTAGGATTCTCATGTTAAAATATTACTTGCCTAATTTTGCTCAGATACGACACTGCTGAAATTCCACAATGAGTCAATGAAGTGTAGCTTTGCCAGGTTTTAGGGCCTGGCCAACTTGGACAAAGCAGTTGGAAGACCACCTGAAATCAGTGATTTCTCAGCACTCGTTTGAGCTGCAGCTGTGATAAAATCTTCAGAATAAATGAGTGTGCGTACAAGATGAGGTCACACGAAGTACCCCATTAGTTAGCTCTTGTGCTAGCCAGTGGGGTATAGGTACACTGCAAGTCTGGATCGTTACCAGCCGTCTGGTGAAGCCCTGGGAAAGGTGGGCTGGTAGCTACCTGAAGACAGCAATGAAGCTGGGAGGAAATGCAGATGGTTGAGTTTGCACTTGGAACACAACAGACTCGTATAGGGCTGCTCCTTTGAATCGGGCTTCTGAATTGCCAGACCAAGCTGGAAATGGTCCGCAGGTGGCTTCTGCTGCTCATCCCTTTGGGTAGATGCACTGAGCTCCAAATGTGCCCACTGCTCCTCTTCCTTGTTCTGTCGCCAAGTCCTGGCACTAGCTGTTGGTGCACCTTGGGAGTGGCAGGAAGCTGAGGAGCTTGGTGATGGGATTCTCACTGCAGCTGTTACTGAGCATTATCCTTTGCTCCTTGCAGCTGGGCTGTGCCAGAAGCATGTCCTCCACCTCCTGCCAGGCATGAGCAGTGACAGCGACATTGAATGTGACACTGAAAATGAAGAGCCGGAGGATGCCGCGTCATCCACAGATGGGTTTAACCACGCCTTTGCCGTCCAGTCCTCGAGCGAAGGTAGAACCCACGGTGACAACATGCAGTCAGAGGGCAGATGTCCAAGGGCCAGCCCTAACCTGGCTTGCGTTTTATGTGGGTAAATGTCATCTCCCAAGGCCAAGAGACGCAGTGCTGTGCCCCACAGAGCATTTGCCAACATAACTGGCTTGAGCTTGAGGTCTTGTTTAGCCTGTTTTTTATTACAAGACAGGGACAGAATTTTACCTCGTTCTGAGCTGAAATGACACTCGCGTCCTTTCACGCTGTACTTCATTTAAGCAAGGGGGGATAGATCACTATGTTCAGGGTGACCCAGCAGACATCTTTCATTTAACTTCAGAAAAGCAGAACCTCATGCCCAGCTTGGAAGGCCACAGAGCAGTTACGGTGTCATCCACCTCTGGGTGGTGAGCATGTCCTGAGAACAGGCCCCAGTGTCCCTGCAGAGCTGCAGTGTTGAGTGGCGAGTTTGGGAAGTGTTGGGGGGCTCTGCGGTGTCAGATTCCACCCCCCCCCCCTCCCCCCCCCCCCCCCCCCCGGCTTTAGGGAGTTTGAAGGGTGCAGTGGTTTTCCAGCTCATCTCCTCCACAAACCTAGCTGGCTTTTGAGCAGAACAGCGGACTTGGGTGCAGCTGTCTGCCTCATTTCCACTAGAGAAAATGGGCAATAAGTCATGAGAACTGAAATAAAATTCCCTGGTAATGAGGGTGCCTCTTAAATGACAGTAATCTGCTTAGGAGCACTTCAGCTTGGTTTTAAAAGGGGTAAAAGTCTCTGACACTCTTGTTCTGTGAAAATGGTAGGAACTTGTCATGGGGCTACTTGGAACTTGTTCAGCTGATTGCTGAGTCTAAGGAGGTTGGGTAGTGGTCTGGCATCAGTGTCAAGCCCGGGTCTGGGTTCCTTACTTGGAACCAGCTCAGTGGCTGATTCTGAATTAGGCTGCAGAACTCCACGGCAAACATTGAATCCTGAAGTGACAGAAGAGTCCAAACACTGCCGCTGGAGAGCAGCCCGGTGCAGGGCAAGGGTTTTATCTGCTGTTAAGAATGAAATCTCAGTCTCCTCAAGACTTGCAGATCATGGAACCAAATGCTTCAGTTAAATTAGACTAGTTTGGGGTGCCGGGCTAAAGGATCATCTGTAACTGTCTTTCAGTCCTAGAGCTGGGTTCCATGTTTCCTGAAGGTGATCAGACTGGTCCTGAAGATCTCGGTTTTGCTGCTGGCGAGGACAATACCAGGTAATTGAACGCTGCTCTGGTGGCAGGTCTGCTTGATCCCAGTCATCTTGAAAAATCAGAGCTGCTTAATATTCTCAGCTCTCTGGTTTGAGCTTCCTGCTCCTAGATCCCCAAATGAACCACGGAGCAGTGCACGTTTCCATCAGACTGGGAGACTGCGGAAGGGGAGGATAGAGGGGAACATAATGCACAGAATAATTAATACCCTGCCACTTGCAGCTACTTCCCAGAGCAGATTTGTCTGTGGGTGGAAGTTGGTGAGATCCTGGCCCATGTCCGTGATTTTTCTTTTTACATAGACTTTCAAGACCAGTTTGTACTCTCGTCCCTCCCTCCTTCCCTACCCACGCCCGACTGGTCTTCAGTTATCAGAGGTTTCATATCTGTTCTTTCTGTGGGAGGGCCTAGATTTCAGTGTCTTAAACCCTTCAGACCCTTCCTGCCTGGTCCATAAACCATAATTGCTCTAATACAGGCCCTGTTGAATGAAATAATTGTGTATGATTCTCTTTGGGCCAGGTAGAGGATTGGGTTGGTGCCTGCAGAAGACTGTCTTGAAGAGCTGGGTTCACACTAACCTGCTTATGCCCCTGAGAAGAGGTACTCTTGCCACTGGAACTTACTTATGCCATCAGGATTGCTCATGGTAGAATAAGCTGACTTCATTACATTCTGTAGTTCTTCCTCACCGCCTTGAAACCTCTGCATAGGTCCCCCTGCCCTGTGAAAGCCTCTTATAGCAAAAAGACTGCGTTCCTCTTGGTTCAAACATATTCTCTGAACAAATGTTCGAAAGGTGCTGGAGCCCTGTGAGCATGCTTGTCTAGTGACTCTGAGGCGGGTGCATTGGAGGAGGTGTAGGAATAATAGCTGTGCCAGTAGAAACGCAGGGGACCCTACAGATATGTTTTAACTTAACGTTAAAGAGGAGCAGCCTCTCCAACCATTAGTTACCCTCCTCTTCCATCTCCACCTTGGACCAACTTGGAACATGTTGCCAAACCCTTTTTTTTTTTGCCACCGTGCATTGCATTTGAGCTGCTAAACAGTTTGTGAAGCTACGACGAAAGCTGAAAAACTGGCTGTTGAAAAAGCAAAGGTAACTGTAAATGTTCGTAGAGTGTTCCTGCCTTATCTTGCTGTATGTACTGGAGTTCTTTTTGTATGTAAGATTGTTCCCCTGTGTAAGTGCTGTGCGATTCATAGTTTAGTTTGAAACTTTGCACTTTGTTAATAAAATGAACATTGAAATACAGCGTGAAATCGTTTGACGCCCATCTATACACGGGTACAATTGCAGGTGCTTATGCATTTAAAAAAGAAAAAGCAAGACTCTCTTTGTCCTCTCATGCTGCATGCCTGTGTCTGCAAATTATTCAGCTGAAGTTCGGATTGTTTTTCTTCTCCTTTCAGTTGCATCATTAATAGAATTGAACATTGGCAGCTGAAGTCCCGTGTAGGAGTTAACAGTCCATCTGGGCTTTTCAGAAATGCACCGTGTTGTTGGCTGTTCGATGTGGAGTGTTTGAGGTGGAACTGGGGCAGAACCTACCCCCAGTGAAAGCAGTTGGCATGTAGTTGACTAACAGCCGTTCTCAATCCCTCTGGCACTGGACCTCTGCCCTCTTGTTTCTTTTCAGTGTCTATCTTCCTCCACTATTGCAGAACTTTCTTTAAAGAATTAGCCCTAGCATGTGCACTCTGATCCCTGTCATAAGCACGGGAGCAATGGTGATGGTGCGTTTGGTGGCAGGAGGGGTATGAACTGATGTTTTTCAGTATCCTGAGCTTTCCCACTCTGTGGAACTCAGGCCTAGGGTTTGTGGGGGGTGTTTCTGAATTGAGGCTGGTTGAAACCACTTCCTCCTCAGCCAAGTTGGCTTTAAGTCATGTAAGGGTTAGGGGCACGATAGGTTGGCTGTAGAGGACTCGACTCATTCCAGTGTTATAAGCCCCTACCCTTGCCCATGTGTCCGTCGAAACTGGGTGACAGTTTTACCTGTAGATTTTCTGCGTGTTTTAGCACAGGTTCTCTTGCTCCCGGGACAGCTGATCTGTAAGCGGATCATCAAGGTGCTTTAGGGTTTGACATCCTGCCCTGCCTGATGGTTGAGTAGGGCCTTTGGAGCAGGCATCTGACTAACAACATGTTACTCAAGAGGGTTTTTTCCTACAAAGAACTAAAACGATCCAGCCTCAGCTGGGAATCCAGCAGCTTCCTGTCCAGCACAATCGAGGAGTCTAACGTCAGTGGCTTCCACTTTACAGTGGAACTGTTCGGTCTGTGGCTCAAAGCTTCTAGAAGCTTAATTTTGGAGACTGCGTCTTGGCTAAAGTGCTCAACTCTTGCCAAAAAAAAAAAAAAAAAAAGTCTGTGTGGCCATACCAAGGGCTGGCACTGGCTGTGCCAGTAGCACTGAGTTGAGCCCACTGTCCCTCCCAAACAAAGCTGTGAGCTGGCCTGTTACTCTACAGCTACCCTGGTTCTAGCTTTGTCTTTCTTACCGAAGTGTAGACTAGCTGGTGTTTCCTGCGCCATGCTGAATGGAGACACGTGTATTCCTCGCCCAAAGAAAACCTGAAATTAATCCCTGTTGCCTTCCATTGAGGGGAGAGGCAAAGTCGGTTCACAGATCCCTTCACCCAGGGTCCCAAGAATAAATCTGTGGTGAAGACTGGGAATTTTAGAAAGCAGCTCGATTCCAAACTGTGTCTGCTTTCAAGGGAGTTTGAATACAGGTGCCCGTAGCTTGCATGTGGAAGGCAGTTGAGCGTAGACCCTGTTTCCTGGCCAACAGCAGAAGCTGGCCATTTGGACTCGGGCAGGGCCTGCAAGGGAGGTGTTGCTTCCCTTCCTATGGAGTTGGCACTTTGAACACTTACACCGGGGGAAATTGTGTAGCTATTCCACAAGCCAAACCCTGCAGTAGGACCTGCAGCCGGAGTGTCACTTACGCAGTCTATACCCAATTCTGCCTTTATTTAAGATGCAGGCAGGTCCCTGTTTGTACTTGAATCACCGATCTCCTCTAGCTGTTTGAATTCCCTTAGCAGCATCCTTCAATAGTGTGCTGCATAGGAGCTTAGCCCAAGGAATGTACTTGTTGTTCTGAATTTGTCTTGGAAGAAACAGACCACTGAGAAATGAGTTTTAAATGACTGTTTTATTAAGATACTGGTAAAATTTCAACATAATCCTTGTCTGTATAAACAGCTTGAATTAATAAATAAAATCTGTTTGACTAATACATGGTTATAACTGAACTCGCATGTGAGCTGCAGAACACGGTTGCAAATGGAGAGGTCCCAACACTGTTAAACGGTTAGAGCTTAAACTGATCGACTTGGGAAAGAACATATCAGAAGTTTTGTGAACAAGAGGACACGCATATCAACAGGAGCGCCCGGTGTGAGAGCTGACAACACACCTGGTGCTCCAGAACCGGATCTGCCTACGTAGACAAGTTACTCTTGCAAGTAAAAGTGCTCAGGGTGAACTTCGGCCAACTTGCCCTATTCTTGTTTTGAGTGCATCTAATTGGACAGTAGAGGAAGCTGTTAACAAAACAAGCCAAATGCAATTACAGTTATTGGACTAACCTTGAATAGGTGGGATTTTTTTTCCTCTAATGCTTCACCATAATGCTGGCAGCTACAATGCTAGTGCCTCATTAACAATGACTAGTAAAGGACGGAGCATCCAAGTCAGAGGTTGCATTTACGCTGGACTATTATTGCACATGATACAAGGGTAGGAAGCTTTCTTCCTGTTGCAAAGAGTTATGAGCCAAAGAAAGATTGCCCTAAATTATAGGCATGACCAAAGCTGGAGTATCCCCTTGACTGGCTTTGTCTATGAGAATTGTGTCATGAAGAAATTGTGCCAAATCAGCCACTAATTTAGATCAATCTTTCTCATTTCTACAGCAGACCGGTGCCAGGGGAGGGAGTGCTTAGTGGTAGAAGAGTGGACGTGGACTACGGTCCTGTCTGTAAACGCTGAACTTGCGCCTCATGCATATCTGCCCGCAGGACAGCACGTTTCTCACTGACGCACACAGTTCCCAATACTGAGTGGAGTTTCTATGACAGTGTACCACTATAAATGTGGTATAAGTTAAAATCTGCTTCCACATTGTCCTCAAGTGTTACACTGCAGCCTAAAACTAAATACTGAATGATTTTAACTTGCAAGGACAATTGATGGCACTTCTAGGTAAAGAAAAGATATTTACATGTGATTCCACCCACCTTTAGTGCAAATCAAAATGGGTTAAACAGCTCCCTGGTCTGGTGCTATACTGCTCTCTGCAACAGCAGATGTTCCTCAGAGTTGCACATTTAAAGAAAAAAGTGTACACAGGAAACTTAGAGTGGGGATCAAACAAATCCCATTCAACTCACAGTGACTAGTTTACTGGCGAGTCTGGAACGGCTTCAGCCAGACTGCCTGAAGTCCGTCTCTCAAAACCAACACAACTCCCTAAACACTTTTTCACTACCTCCCTCCTATTTTTGCAGGACACGTTTAACACGTAAACTGAAACTAATGCAGATTGTGTTAACTCGAAAAAGGGATACTTCAGCTCTTTATTGGAAAGGTTCGTTATACAAATTTCACCACCACTAAGAGATACACAATAAAAATACAAAACACAAGTCACAGACTGAATCTCAGAATTAACAATTAATAAATACAGTTATAGATACTTTTGTAATTTGTCTAATATGGTTTGTTTTTTTTACATTTGTCACCAGTTTAGACGATCAAAACTACAAGGTACAGAACGCTTAGATACCATTAGAGGGGTACTTATTGCTTACGTTAGCAAGCAGCAAATAAGGGCACAGGATTTTGAACTGAAGAGAACTACTTCCTATCACCAGTGGCATTAAGAGAAAACACTGCATTTCACAAAGCACTGCTTTTTTGTCTAGTGTAGAATCAAGAGCAGCATATATCAGACCAATAACCACTACTTTTAATATGTATTAGAGAATTTTAAAGGACTTACCTTACAAATGGTTCCTATCTACTCTATAAATATGTATTTAGTGAGGAAATGAACACTTGCTATTTATACAATATTTTGTACCTGACCACACTGGAACTACAATGGGAATTCTGTTTTCCTAGAGAGAAACGGTATGAGAAGCAGAACTATTGTTATGGATCCACACCTAAAGAGCTGCACCCTTACCAAGACAACTTACACTCAAGTCCAGTGCTTTTCAGCTATTCCTGCACGTTGGGAAGAAGGTCAATCATCCGTAACTTCTTGAATTCATATTTACTCAAAAAAATGGCACTTGCATCACCTTTCAGTAGAAGTACAGTTATCAAACAGAAGAGAGATTCCACGTGCCACCTATCTTTCTGTGAAAACATGAACAATGAGAAGGCACCAGAGAGATGCCCCAAAATTGCATACTTCATGGTTTTGTGGTTTCTCTACTTTCCTTACTAAATCTGATTGGAAACATAGAATACAGCTAAAGTGTGTTGATGACAACAGCTAAGGCTTCATAAAAGGACAAATGTAGCAGCCAATAAATAGTCCCTTAATTATGGTTATGGTTAAAAAAAAAAAAGCCTCAAAATGATTTTAAAAAATGTAGAAACCATTTTTCAACTCCTGTTAACTCGCAGCTTTTTGCTGTTTCATCAAATCACTTTAAGGAGCGACTCAAAGAATAAGTGGAGATTGGGAGAATTCAAGTATTATGGTCTCCAATAATTTAGAGTCCTGTGACAAAAATTCAACTATTTTGCAAATTTGATCTAAACCGTAAGTCTGATTTTAAAGTGTTACTGGTAGGAGGGTGTGAGGTATTGGATGTTGCTGAAATGCAGAATGACATCTTATTCTTATTTCTGCCCAATTATTTTTTCCTGTTGACTGGTACTGCAGTAAAGAATAGTGAGAGGAGGGATATTCTAATGTGCTGTCCAATACAGCTCACTGGAACAGTTTGATTACAGTTAGGGTTTTTAAATTTTTTTAATTAATACTCCGCTTATTACAATAAAGGACAGAAAAGGGCAACACACCTTCCTCGCCTTTCTACGTGAACCGAAGTTTGCTTGGAGCAGAGTTCTGGATTGTCAGTGCGTGTTATGATCTCAGCGAAACAAAGAAATTGCCCTCATCCTTCTGCACCCACAGCCCTGCTACGCACCAGGGGTTACTCCGGCAGTCTGCCCACGAGCTGCGAGGGATACCACATTTCAGCAGCAGTGCCACAATACCGCCACTGTCTTGCCCTCCCTAAAACCAACCAGCCTATTTTAAATCAATACCTTGCCACCTACAGTCTGGGACCTAAAACAGAATCCGGATCAAAGTGCTTATTGTCCCTAACGAGTGGTTCTGTGGTTTGATTGATTTATGCCAGCACTGTTCACGTGGACATCATCTCCACAGCCTTGGTTTCTTCTAAACACCTGAGATGAAGTGATAGCGAAGAGAGGTTGGCTCAAAGCATTAACTGCAATCGTGTTGGATTAAAACCAGTTGACAACGTAGTCTCCTAAATTGACAAAATAATAAAAATGCCACTAAAAGCACCAGGAGGTTGTGAAATCCCCAATACTGGACCTCGAGCCAGAGAAATCTTTTTTTGTTTGTTTTTTTTAACTACAAAAACAGTTTTTCGTATTCCACATTTTATGTTACATGAAAAAATAGCTAAATTAGGAGTATGTACCTCGGTCTGAGTCTGAGAACAGAGAGGAGATCTCACAGCAGGAGCTTAGTTCTCCATTCCTAAATTACCTGTTAAAACCCTGTATGGCTTTTAGTCTTTTACCTGCAAAATGGATGGGTTTTTTCTATAGATTTCTCTTAACATTAGTCTGAGATAAACTGAAAGCAAAATAAGAAAAAAACCCCACAACCTGGACTTCTATGGAAACTCCCCCCTCCCCCCGGTACAAAATTTGGCAGTTCTAAAAGAGGATCTTTCTGAAAATATTGCTCCACAGACAAACCTCAGGCAGGTTCAACGTTATATCCCTTTGCATTGTTTGCAAGTCTGTTTCCTAACTGCGTCTGTTCAGATAAGCCAACTAACCAGCTTCCAGTAGTGAATGCGAGTATAGATACCTACATGGGCATGTGTCTGGGCAGCTGTGACTGCTTAGAGTGGCACCACCAGCAATTCTTATTGAGACGGAAACACTATTTCTTTTAATTCCTTGGTCTATGTACATATAAGCTGAGCTTTTGCAGGTTCTGTAATACACACCGTTCTGAAATGCCCACCTTTTGATTTCTGATGATGCTTTTTTTTTTTTTTTTAATTCTGGGAATGTCTAATCTAGATATCTGAAGGGGGGGTAACAAGGAGGATTGTTATATTTTACAGTGCAAGTGAAGGTATGAATGTGGTATACAGTTACTCTGTCTTAGCATGAACAGCATACTCTCACTGTAACTTCTGTGACTATTCATCCTCCACCACAGAGAGCTTCTTACCAACATCCTAATGTTACTACCACTTCGGACAGGCAAGGACAGACCCAATCCTTCTGTACGGGAAGGCTCACGAGCAAAGGGAGATGCGCGAAACTTTGGTCTGAGCCTGGTTTCTCGTCGCCGCTTGGCATTATAGACGTGGAAGCGAAAGAGAGCAGAACCTCGTCTGCCCAAGGAGTTGGGCTGCTCCTCTTCCGTGTGGGAGAAGATGGGAGAGAAGCCCTCGGAAGAGCAGTGCACCTGGGATCGCTTTGTCCATGCACTGACAAAGCAGCACTCTCTGGCGCTTCGGTCTTCACTGTTGAACCATTACCCAAATTCACGCTCTTTGGTATGCCAGGACTGAACACTTGAACTGGTGGCAAACATTTGGCACTCTGAGGTTTGCTTGCTTCCGTGGTTGTCAGGTCTAAGTAGCCTTGATCAAACAGGTTAATTTTGGACCCTATGCTCAAGCTAGTTCTATCAGTGAAGGAATCCACTCGTCCATCATACCCTAGATCTGCTGGTGCTGAGCACTGGTGCTGAGGCCAAGGCCGTTTGCAATCTCCGTGGTTTTCCTTGTCTTCTCCGCTGTCTTCTTGCCCTCCTTGAAATGAGTTCTCTGTCCAGTCTGATTCTTCACTAGCATTTACTGCTGCATTCATGTCCCTGAGAAATACTACGATGACAGTGATGTTGTCACTGGAGCCAGCATCTCGAGCTGATGCCACTAATTTGTGTGCCACCATGCTGCTATCCCCATTATTCTCCTTGAGGTGATCGGCTACCACCTTCACTGCCTCATCAGGATTCACTGTGTCATAGAAGCCGTCACAGGCTAAAATGAGGTAGTCTTCAGACCCATCCAGGACAGTGGAAGCAGAGTCTGCGTCGCCACAGATATATGGCTTGTGCTCTGCATCTCCTGCAAAATGAAAAACAGGGCTAGGTGAGGCTCTGGCTTTGACTGATGTGCTGAGTAATTGCTAGTAGCCTGGATTCCATGTAAGGATATGGAATCAGAGGGTTGGAAGAGACCTCGAGGGTCATCCGGTCCAAGGCCCTGCACAAATGCAGGGAAGCTGCTCCCCAGCTCCTTTCCTCCTCTCTGTTAGGAGCTGCTTGGAACAACTAGAGGCAAACCTCTGCTGCACGGAGAAGTGGAAGTCCTTGTTCCCAGCTGGATCAAAGAGCCACAAGGGTTCATTAAAAAAAGAAATAGCGGGGGAGGAAATAGAATACAAGCAGCAAAAGGAATGAAACGCCATTTCTCACCAATAGCTCTGGAGACTGACAGACTCCCGTTGACTCTCCAGGCTCCGAACCAGACCACGCAGCCTCCCAGAGCCTCAATGCGCTTCTTCTCATCCTAAACCGCAAGGCAACAGAAGAGCTGACCTTCGCTGCCATAGCTAGACTCCCCTTTTGGACATGGTCTGGCTGCACATGGATTTCTGCAGGAGGTTGTGCTGCCCTCCCAGTTAATTTGACATGGGGCTTTTCTACATCAGGAATCTTATCCAAAGCAACAGGACTAGCTGCTTGTTCAGCTGCGAGACAGGCAAGGCAGCAAACAACAGCTAAGGCAATTTTATGGACAGGAACAGGTCATTTTATGGAACAATAATTATTTTTTTCTAATCTAGGCAGTCGGTAGGGGCAAAGCTGGCTGTCAGCAATTCAGTACCTCTCGATCCGGTTTATGAGGCTTCATCAGTTCCACAGCTTGGCCCCTTCTCACGAGCATCACCTGGGAGTCGCCCAGCCATGCCACGTGCAGCATGTTTCCCCGGATGAAGGTCACCACGCCCGTGGTCCCACACCGCAGGCTCTAGAAAAAACATTCCAGCAACTGAAAGCTGCCCCCGGGCATTTTGCTGCACTGCTCCAGGATGGGGCGTGTGGGCATTTCAGCCCGGCAGCCGTTCTGATGGACCAAAGGGGCTGAACACTTCCCCAGAGCTAACATGACCAAATGCAAGTAACAGGGCAGAGTTCTGCCCCAGTGTTTGTGGAGGCTACAGTTCTCATCCTGGCCTCGGCCACCAGTCCAGCGTGGCACCCCACAGACCTCCCTGAGCCCCAGTTTCCATCCGTAAATGAGGGAGATTCACTCAAAGCACCTTGGGGCCTGCTTGAAAGCAAAGAACCACCAAGCAGTGGTAATCCTGACACCTTGCTCCACTCCCTCACCCCTGCCTGAGGACCCAGAAATGCACTTGGCCATTCCGCCTCTCTTCCTGAGCTACACGGAGTTCCGTTTTCAAGGGGGAAACAATTAAAGGACAAATGTAATTAGCACAATTGTCTGTTGGCAAATACAAGGTACATGGAGTTGGAAGCAGCTAAAAAGACCTTGTGATGCTCAGTTCTGGATTTCTGACCTTGCTCTCAAGTTCAGACATTTGGAAAGGACCTTAGCAGTCCTCAGGTCCTGCCTACACATGAACATCACCCCATGGTCAGTGGGAGGCAGTGGGGGAAGGGGCAAGGACAGCAGCACCAGCATATCTAAGGGAATGTCTGCCCTGCAGTGACTGTGGCTCCTGTAGACACACAAGCTGGCTCTAAAGCATTTGCCTGGATACCGACAGCTGTGTAGCCATGGCAGCGCGGAGCTCCTCGTGGGCTGCAAAATGCACCCAAGAAGCTGGGTGAATCCTCTGACAGCTGGTCCACACAGAGCCCTGTGGTGCTGCAGTCACACTGCCAGGACAGCCCTGGCCGGTGAGCTCCGCACTCCAAGTCCTGGAAACACAAACCTACACTGGGGGCTGAAAACGCATGCATTTGCTCTGCGGTCCCTGCCCAGACCTGCTCCGTTACAACCCTGTGCAGCTCTGGATGATTAGTTCAGCTAGGACTCCTCCCGCAGGCCCAGCCCCATGCACCAGCAGGCTTTAATCGTGGGCATGGAACCAGCCCTACACCAGCTGCAGCTCCTTCCGCTGGAGACTGAAAGGGGCCTGGAGCTTAGCTCCAACCCCAGAAGCATTTCTGTCCATGTTAGATGGTGGCTTGCAGGCCAGTAACATCCATACAGGCAGCCTAGAGGAGAAAGGCTCCAGGCCCCTCAGACAGCATGTGGCAGAAGATGGTCTGCGCTGTTTAAGCAGCCCCGAGGACTCCACTGCTCCCAGCTTCAAGAAGGCAGAAGTGCATGTTCACGACGCATTGGGGCAGGAATGTCATTACCTGCCCTGCCCGAGGGGGCTGCTGAGGGGGTCAGGGACGCCTCTGAGCTTGGCAGGTCTTGAACTGGAGCATCAGGTTCGAGGGCAGGGTGGGGTCCCTGCTCTCCAGACTCAGTCTGCAACGCACAGGTGGGCGCGGGGTGGGGGCTCCCGTGTGACTGATTGTGAGCCTTCCTGCTGTGCGGAGCAGCCACACAAAACTCACCTCTCGGGCCGCCTTTTGCACAAAGCGCTCGTCTGTCACCCGGAACGCCTTGCACAGTGCCTCTGTGGGGTCATGCTGAAACATCTCCTGGTGCACCAAGTTCACATGGAGGTGGATGGAGGCATAAATGGCGGCATCCACTCCCCCGTGACCATCGAATACTGCGAAATAAGCTTGCTCCTCTTGATCCTGTGATTGAAAACACACGAGCAAACCAGACAGACAGACAATGCTGCTGGTTAACTGAATTACACCATTAACACCATTTAATTTGAGATTTCTGGTGTCCTCTCAGTGGTTGTTAGGACTGTCATGTGGTTACAGAGGCAGACTCTCCACAGGAGAGAGCGACTGGATAGATTATCTTTGTTTATACCAACGGGGGGTGGGGACTGTGCATATCCAGTCCTATTCTAAGCCCGATGAACTGTGCTTCCATGCCAGGAGCAGGTGCTCAGCCTCCTGGTTTGTTATACCTTTCAGGTGTGCAGACTCAAAACCTCTCCTAAATAAAAAGCAGGAAGTGGCTTTGGTGATACAAACAGCAGCCAGGAGGAGACGACTACCAGATCCACTTGCTTGTGGTCTACAGCAAGATTCGAACCCAGGTTTTCAGAGGTAAAATGCCAGTGTATTACAACATGAAGCTGACTGGCCCTGGGTTTTTTTTATCCAGTCCCCATCAACTCAGGTTGCTATATGTATTGTCAGGGAATTAAACATGACCATAGTCTCAAACCAAAAGGAGCAGAATTGCTCCTCTCCAACCCAGTCTTCTTGGTTTCCCCCAATCTGCTCAAGCAGAAGAAACAATGCCTCACTACCCGGAGGCATCAGCTCCAGCACCTATTCAAACAGACAAAACACCAACCCACTGTCAAGTGCCAATTCAACCTTGACAGCCATCTAAACGACTAGGATATTACCCATTGTAATTTTTAAGTGATGGGCTCCAGCACAAGTTTGAGTGAAGGAAGGTAACAATTGACAGGCAAAGGAAACAAACCTGTCTCTGTTTGCATTAACATAATGCAGCTTCAAAGCAAGAACTCAGGTGGGGCCCAAGAAAACAGTTATTAAGTTGACTAGGTGCAATGTAGAACCAGTTCCTGCATCAGCCTGATGCAGGTGGGCTCACCCTTGCTACTTTCTCTTCCTTGCCATTTCTCAGCATCCAGATCTTCACAGCTGAAGAACTAGCACGGGGCTGGGGCTGGTTAAGTCATGGGAACAGGTGGAGGAAAGTAACGCTGGGCCCAGCTCCACCCAGACATTGGTGCTGCTGGACTCTCATGGGGGCCTCACTCTTCTCCCAGGACTGTTTCTACCTTCCCCTTCTCAGGTGTTTAGGTCATGGATGTTGCTGCACAGTAGGCTGGCAATGCACGCCCACCCCGGATGACAACTGGCCAGTAGGAATGAGCTCCGAGTGCACCAGCATTTGCTTCTCTGCTGGTGTCCAGGTGCCCTTTGACTGACAGAGAGTCTTGCCTTGGCTTACTCTTTAGTAACGCAATGGCCTCCCATGTGGGAACGCTGAGTTCCACGTGGTGTCTGAAGCCGTTAAATGCCAGGAACTGTTGCAGAACCACACTCCTATTGGCATCCAAGCAGGTGAATGGACACCACACTCTCATGCAGGCTTTTCTCTTGCCAGCAGAGTGCAACCTTCTAAAATAAACGAAAGCTAACAGGCTTCTAAACCACAGGACAAATATTAGCACAAGGCACGGGATCAAAACCCGGCAGTGAAGCGCGGACACCACTGGAATGGGGGCAGCAACTGGCTCAGCAGGTCCGACAGAGACAAAGCCACTAAATGTTAGCTAGATGAAGCCTCACTTTAAGTGTCTGTCTTCCTATGTACCATGGAGGCAGTGTGTTTGGAATTGTACCTAGTAATGTTTGTAGCAAATTCTCTCAGCTACCCTAAAACCACAGTTGTGTCTGTAGCCTCCTTCTCAAATCCATCACAGATTGTCTTTAGTTTTCATGGGTAAGCCCTTCCTCTGGTTTCCCTAAAGACAAAGCCTACATTCCGGAGGTGTATGTCACCTTTCACATCAGCTCCCTTTACCTCAAGGTTGAAGAGCATGTTGAAGTCCGGAATGCAGACGTGCTTGTCTTCCATCTTCCTGCGCATGTTTTTGATGGCGTGGATGGATGTCTCATAGTACCGGTGGGGTTTCATTTGAAGTGGAAAGTCTTTCACCCAGTTGCTGCAGATCTCATGGAGTTTGTTGAAAACCAAGCGGGCTAGCTTCACTGTCTCAATCTCTGATGGAGGCAAAATAAAAACAATGTTAAAAAGTGAGAATTTTTACCTTATGCACTATAGAGACAAACCGAAAGAAGACTTGGCAGGCACCTGACATGGGCGTCCAGCCAGGAAAACCTGGATTCTGAAGGGGGAGTCAAGGGAGCCAGGCACTGCCAGCATTCCTCCCTGAACGCCTCCCTCGTTTTATCGTAACTACTGTCCTTTTCCAGGGCTTATTTTCTGCAGCAGGAAGAATGAGAAGGTTGTATGCACACCTGCTGTAACCCCTTTGCAACTGTAGATTAGGAGAAGTAACTATACCACACCACGGGGGCTCCTCCGGTGATGGACTGAGACACTATGTGGTAGAAAGATGTTGTAAACCTTAAAAGCCAAAGGGGCTGGTGAAACATTCAGCACACTCTTGAAAGGGATGCTAACCTGTTGCTTTGTTTGCAATTGGATGCTGCAGCTCTGAGTGGGAAAGCAGGCAGCAAATGTGGGAGGATGGAGCACATCCTGGGTTCTTCAAGCTTCCCCAAAGCCTGTATCCCCAACCTCCGGTTTCAACAGAAGCCTCAGCAACTCCGCCAGCCCTGCAGAAGCCCTCTGTCCAAGGGAAGGAGGGAGGGATGGAAACTACTAGCATTCATTCAATATTTCATTTCTCAGGAATATGGTGGAGTATCTGTAAGCAGCTCCTAGAAGTGCTGGCACAATTAGTCACTAATAGGGTTGGGAAATGTGTGTGCTGGAGTGGTCAGCAAGCCAAGGCCTCTGGGATCTGTTTCGAACTCTGCTGATTATTTATCCCCTAAGTGGGGAAACGAAGACTCAAGACTTTTAAAGCTTAGCCTCCATCAAGGGTTCTGAGATCTTTCAGATGGGTGTTGTACATTGATAGTGTTATAGCTACAGATTGGGATAAAGGGATACACCTGATTCAGAGAGACCCAGGACGCCACCTGAACTCGAGTTCCTAGTTATGAGAGCTGGTCCTACCATGTTCACCAGATACTTGCTGCTCCCTCTCTCTCTTTGTATGGCGTCAGATATCAGTTTCCAAACCTACAAGCCACTGTCTGGTATTATCGCTCAATGTGCAGATTCCATCTACCCCGTCTCGGCATTTATAGAGACTGCAGCTTTCAATTAAGTGCTGGCTGTTTGTTGGATGCCGCATTCACACAGGGGGCTGCCCAAGAGGTTCGTCTGGTGACATGTTTTGAAGTGTCTGTATCCAGATCTCAGTCTGGTCAGCTTGACCCATGCCTCTCTGTCAAGGTCGTGCCCAATGGGGGACTCGTTTGGTGTTGGTATAAAACACTATAGGAATAGGTCTGATTTTTCTCAGTGCTTGGTCCACTCTGTTGCTGCTCAAAGGTTTGGTTCAGCATCCCGAATCTCTTCAAGGAACTTCATGTACAAACAGTTTATGACTTACAAGCCTCTTGAGCCTCTATCTGTTCAGGTCTTCAGTTAACAGTTGATGGAGCAGGTGATTTTCATCATCTCTTGCCGCTATTGCTAGTAACAATGTTGGGGTCTGTCTTTTATATCACTTGGTCTAATGCCTGAGAGCACAGGGAGAGTGTGTGTGTGTGTAGCCTGTTATGAGTCTCAGCACACGGTTAGGTACAGTGTTGAGCTTTGTAGTGTATCAACTTCTGGACCATCCAGGAGCACAATATTTTGCTGGGGCATATGCCATTGCAAGTGTGGTGGTTCTGAGCACTTTGAAGCTAGCACCCCATGTCATGTTGGCTAAACATCCTAAGGCAGAGACATTACCACTGACCTTCTGCATGTGATGTTTATAGGTGAAGGAATGGTCTAATGCGACTCCTAGGGAGGTTTGGATATGCTCATGGGGAAGGATGTGGTTGCCTACTCTGATATTCAACGTGCTCGCGACTCGACAAGTGTCCAGGTAGAAGAGCAATGACACTGAGGCTCAACTTTTGAACACCACTTGCGGAGATAGTCAGCGATGAGTCCCAGGTTAGTGCTCTGTGTCTTTTCCAGTCGTCATGACTATTCCTTGGGCTGCTATGGTGACATCAGTGTATATGCATTGTAGCTGTTGTATTTGGGAAGTCTGAGGTGTATACAGTGAAAAGTGTTGGTACTCGTGCTGACCCCGGGGGGACTTCACTCTTCAGAGTTTGTACTCTGCTCTTTTCTCCTTGGCTGGTAGTGTGTGTGAATGATCTGCTGGAGATCACGTTCATAATGAAAGCCATAGCTTGCGGTCAGATGCCACAGAGTGCCACAGGTATTTGAGGCCTTGCTGCCAATGGGAGGAGATAGAGCCGCTTAATCTACCAGCCCTTGGAAGCAGATGGTAGAAGTACCAGTACAATCAGGTTACCAGTGTGACAGCACAGTGGTACCCCCAGCTGATCCCCAGCACGGTCAGCACTTGCCCTGTGGGACAGCGCAGGACATGGGCAAAAGCACTGGTAGGACTGTCCAAATCCTACCTCCAGGCAGGGCACTTCAGCCACAAGGTTCCTTTTCTCCTCTTCCTAATGGGCACGTTTAACAGAGAAAGGTTGGTTTTTTTCAGTGTTACTGGTTTGTTACAACCTGGAAAGCCACTCAGCAAGCAGAATGGACAAAAGCCATTAGCTGTGCTGAGATACTAAATACCCTTCTCTGCAGGGAGTATGCAGAATGTCAGCATCATCAATAATTGCTGCTTGAGATCAAAACAGGAGAAAGGCCCACAGCAGCCCGTCCACCCCCTCACAGCTGTAAATTACTCATCAATCGTTAATGTCGTGGGGCTGAGCAGGAGCTGAGTCAGCGCTCGTCGTGGTTGTGCCGTGCAGCAGTCCATCTCCCTCCTGCTCTAAGATGCTTCTGCGATGGAGCTGCTGATGAATTGTGCCAGCACAGGCGGGAGACCCAGCCCGACAGGTTTGTTCCCAAGACTGGTTGACTGATTTCTCATTGCAAAGTAGGAGGGAATGGAAACTGTGAGCGTGTTTTCATTTCCACACTCCCCAGCCCTGTATTAGCTGTAGGTAACTGGCTAGACCAGGGATGCTCAACAACCCCAGCCCACAGGTCAGATGTAGCCTGCAGAGTTGTTCCAGCCTGCAGAGCTCCCCACGGGCCCAGAAATTTGGTGGTGGGAGAGCAGTGGCAGCATTCGGTGCCACCCCTCTGCTGCCAAATTTCCAGACCAGTGGGGAGCCCTGCAGGGGGACAACATGGCCCTGCTCACTAGGCCTGGCACATGGGGCTGGACTGGGGCACAAGGCCCTATGGAGGGCAGGGGGTGAGCCAGATCCAGGCGGTGTTCACTGACCCGCACAGGATCCAGCCCGTGGACTGGCCCCACACCACTCATCCAGGTTAAGCACCACTGAGCTGGACTCGCTGCATTTCTACTGGGTTGAGATGGATCCTTTAAAGGGATGGGGACAGCTGCAGGTGTGTGAATGCCCAGCAGCCCTACACTACCAAGCACAAGAGGAAAGTCCAGTTTATGAAGCAATATTGACTTTGCACTTCCTCAGTGCTCATCACCCAAGGATCTTGGGGGCCTTCCACTAATAGCTGATTTAAACCAGATCTTCACCTTGGTTCAGC